ATATATATATATATATATATATTGTGACAAAAGTACTCCTTTCCCTTGGTACCTTGTCCTGGGATCGGGGTGTTACACAGTCTTTTCAGGCTTTAGAGACACTTCACACGCTGGATGAGGTAAACTGACTTGCTCTTTTATTGAGGTTCCAAAATAAATGCACAGTAAGGTATAAAAGGTAACAAAAATATATCAAACAAAAGCCTTGCTCTTCTGAGCACTAACTAAACAAAATAATCAGCTAACTGGGTTGGATGGCTTGTCCATTTCCCAACATAAACATAAACATAAACAGCCTTACTGCTTCAGGGTTTTCAGCTCTCTGTTTCCACTCACAGAAACCAAACACAATCTCCCTTCTTCCTTGGCAGGGGAGTACTTAATAGCACTGGTAATTGACAATCCTTTTCAGGTGAGTTAGATTAGGATTCAAACTCCAGAACTGGACTTCTCACCAAGCAACTTCCAAAATGTGGAGTGGAGCACTGGCCCACCCTACTCTCCAGGTGCTCCACCCAGGGCCCAAATATACACATATTTAAAGTGCAACATTCATTAGAACATAACACATTTCCCTGGGGCTAATTACACAAAGTAAGAACCTTGCAAAATCTGGGGAGGTATATAGGTTCCTTCCAGCACAATTCCTTGCTTTCTGTCACACATCCTCCACCTTCCAGCTCAGACCTATAGGGTCGAGCGACCATGGACATTAGAGAGTGCATCCGCGAAAGACCATCTGCATTTCCCTGTTTACTCCCAGCCCTATGCTCAATGGAGAAATTATAGGGTTGCAAGCTAAGGAACCAGCGGGTTACTCTACTATTTTTCTCCCTGTTTTGGCTCATCCAAGTAAGGGGTGCATGGTCTGTCACTAGTCTGAATTTTCGTCCCAAGAGATAGTACTTAAGTGTGTCTACCGCCCACTTTATAGCCAGGCACTCCTTCTCAACAATGGAATAGTTTCTTTCCTGGGGATTAAGCTTCCTGCTTAAATATAATATGGGGTGCTCCTCACCCTGAATTTCTTGAGAGAGAACAGCACCTAGTCCTACATCAGATGCATCCGTCTGTAAAATAAATTCTTTAGAAAAATCAGGTGTTACCAACACTGGTTGGGCACAAATGGCTTCTTTAAGCTTTCTGAATGCTTGTTCCGTCTCTGGAGACCATTTTACCACTACTGGAGCATTAGCTTTAGTAAGGTCAGTTAATGGGCTTCCAATTGTAGCAAAATTGGATATAAATCTCCTGTAATAGCCAATGAGGCCAAGAAATGTTCTCACCTGTTTCTTAGTCAGTGGTCTCGGCCAATTTCGTATGGCTTCAATTTTAGCAACTTGGGGTTTCACTAGTCCCCTACCAATAGAGTAGCCCAAATATTTTGCTTCCTCTAGGCCAATCGTACACTTACTAGGGTTAGCAGTTAAGCCAGCATTTTGTATTGAGTTAAGGACAGCCTGTACTTTTGGAAGGTGAGATTCCCAATCCTCACTGTGTACTACAACATCATCCAAGTATGCAGCTGCATAGCGCACATGCGGCTTTAGTATTCTGCCCATCATTCTTTGGAATGTGGCAGGGGCACCATGCAAGCCGAAAGGCAAAACTCTGTACTGAAATAGGCCGTCAGGAGTAGAAAATGCTGTCTTTTCTTTTGCTCGCTCTGTGAGTGGTACTTGCCAATAACCTTTGGTTAAATCTAGTGTAGTGAGGTACCGAGCTCTCCCAAGTCGTTCTACTAGCTTATCAACTCTAGGCATGGGGTATGCATCAAACTTAGAAATAGCATTCAGTTTGCGATAATCATTACAAAACCGTACTGTATTATCAGGCTTTGGTACCAGCACAATTGGACTGCTCCAGTCACTTTGTGACTCCTCAATGACTCCAAGATCTAACATTTTCTTAACCTCTGCTCTGATAGCTTTTCTATGAGCCTCGGGTATTCTGTATGGTTTGAGATTGACCCTTTTTCCTGGTTCTGTTAAAATGTCATGTTTAATCACGCTAGTCCTTCCTGGGACTGGGGAGAATACCTCTTTATTTAATCTAATAAACTCCTTAACTTCCCTTGTCTGGTGTATTGACAGGGTCTCTGAGATATTTACTTCGGGGTCAATATTACACTTATCAAGGAAGGTTGAAGCCTCTGTAGTAACCAGAATTTCCCTTTCTTTCCATGGTTTTAGCAAATTGACATGGTATATTTGCACTTCCTTTCTTCTACCTGGTTGCCTTACTTTATAATTTACCTCTCCCACTCTTTCAATAATCTCATATGGCCCATGCCAAGTTGCCAGGAATTTGTTCTTTACTGTGGGAACCAAGACTAGTACTCTGTTTCCTGGTTGAAATACTCGAATTCTAGCATCCTTATTATAGCTATTCTGCTGATTTTGTTGAGCCTTTTGCATGTGTTCTCTGACTATTGGCATAATGGCTTCAATACGTTCCTGCATCTGAGTTATGTGTTCTATTACACTGCGATGTGGGTTTGCTTCTTGTTCCCAAGTTTCCTTTGCTATGTCAAGTAATCCCCTTGGGTGTCTGCAATATAATAATTCAAAAGGTGAGAAACCCGTGGAAGCTTGGGGTACTTCTCTAATGGCAAACATTAAATAGGGCAATAGAAAGTCCCAGTTTTTCCCATCTTTATCAATTACTTTGCGCAGCATAGCCTTTAAGGTT